CTGCTTTCCTCCCCGTCCCCCTGGTCTGTAGACCAGGGGGACGGGGAGCAGAGCAGAGCAGAGCAAAGCCGTGGAGCACGCGGCCAGCTGACAGCCCAGACGCGTCTGGGCTGTCCGCTGCCCGCGTGTTCCGCCACTTTGCTTCCTCTCCCTGGTCTGCTGGAGACCAGGGAGAGGGAGGGCCCCGTTCGTAACTGCGGATCCGACGTAAGTCGGATCCACGTAACTCGGGGACTGCCTGTACAAGTTTTGGAAAATGTTGGTTTTAATGGCAACTGAAGCTAATCATTAACAATTAGATAGTAAATCCAATAAGCATTCACAGTTTGAGTTTAGATAATTAATGTATTGTATTCAAATCTACTCTGGTCTTAATGAGACCTGAGCTGAAAAATTGAATCCTCTGAAGTAAATGAACTTTGTGCCCTCTTATCTTATACTGATGATTAACTATGTAGAATAGCAGGCTCCTTAGATAAATAACATTTAAATTGGGTGATCAGATTTTCTTCTCCAAATTTTTACTGCTATTGCTGCTAGGCTAAGGATTCACTTTTAAATAATAACAGACATTAAACTCTATGTAGGTATTTTCCTGTTCTTCATAGAGAGACAGTAATATTTTTAGTGAACCACATGTAATAATAGCAATACTAGTGAACAAACTAGGAATTCAATTGGAAAACAATTGAATTATTTATGTAAACAAGTTTTTTAACATCAGCTGTCCACAACATTTGTCTTTTTTACAAAAAGTATATTTCAGCTTAGTTACACTGCACCTTTGTATTGTGTGGAGTTAAATAGTCTCTTCCATATTTAAGTGAATCCAACACATGGAAACCCAGTGTTACTTAGTGTTAGGTACACCTTCCCCCCCAAAGGTAGAATTTAATCTTTTTTTTTAAAAAAAAAAAAAGGGAGAGAAACTAAGAAAAAGTGAGAAAAAGGACTTACTTGTGTCACCTCTGTGTCAGACCCTTTCTTCTCAGTGCTAGAGAATTTTGGGCAGGATGCCAGTGTAACGTCACAGCGGGAGGGCTGCCGTCTTTAAAATGTAGTGGATACTCCACAACAGTCCTAAAACTCGGTGTTTTGGATTTTTTACAGATATTTCATAACTTTTCCAAACTCAGTGAAGCAAAACCTTTTCAAAAGAAGGCAATTTTTTTCAGTGGCCCTAATCTGGCATTCTGCCTTCTGGAGAACTGCTGGTACCAGCCTCTTCCAGGCAAAAAAACAATTTTTTCTTCATTATTCTTTTACAGCATAAATGCTAAAGCTGCATTGAAAACCTTCACACCCTTAAACTCTGATAGCAGTTTGATGACCTATGTGAAAGGACTTTGAGGGAAATGGCTCATTTTCTAAATAAGTATCCACAACCTTTTATAAACACTCTAACTTGCATTAATTGATACCCCAGCTGAGTGTCTGAGTAGAGAAGCCAAGACTGAATTAGTCCTAGTGATCAAACTAGCCCTTCACATCTGAAGCTCCTGGTCCCTAATACAGCCACTTTGCACCATGCCTATAACACAAAGTTGCAGCAAATTTGCCCTACTAGGGAGCTGAAGAAAAAGGAATGTGCCTGGAAAAAAGGGCATGGCCAGAGTACTGATATACTCAAAGTTACTGACTAACATAACAATCCCAAATGAGTGTTAGAGCAACTTTGAGGCTGTTCTAACTTACTTCAGGGACCAACCAGGGATTGCAGGATACACAAAGGTGGGTCCCCCTTTGTCCTCCTATATGAGCCCATTTATTTGCAGTTAATATGTCTCTCTCACACATGCAAATCTGCCCTGTTTAGAACATCAGCTGTCAAATCCAGTAGAGCTCTTACATTCCTTGAACCAGCTATCAGCATGCTTCTTCTGAGTTGAAGCTTGTACTTTGCAACTACAAATACTAGAAGCTATTCTAGCTCTTACTACAAGACTATCAGAAGAACAAGATTTTATCAAGGCTTGCAATTATCTGGTGCTAACTTTTGCCCAAAGCCAAAGAAAACTGAACCACAAAAATTGATTTTCTTTCCCATTTAAACCCCTGATTTTTAAATACACTGTAAGCATATAATAAAAGGAGTTTTCCCTTCTCAGTAACATCTATGTCCCTTCTAAAACACTGCAGCTAGGGCAGCGTGCTTTTACCAGGTGTGGATAGATGTGCTAGCTTGCTTGAGATAACGCACTATAATATCAGCATAGCTGGGGGTAGCATAGACAGCAAGTTGGCTTAGACACCTGAGTATGTACCCAAGGGGTCCAGGTGAGCACATATGTGGGAAGCTATCCTGACACCATGTGGGCTACCCCAGTTACTTTTTAGTGGGACAGATTGCTCGAGCTAGTGCATCTCTCTACCTGCACAGGGAAACACGTAGTTGTAACCTGCACACCTCGTATGGTTCACTGTCCCATGTAGTGGCACTTAGACTACTTACAGAGAGCGATAAGAATAAGGGAGCTCTGTAGCCTAAGCTGCAAATTAGCTGGCTTTATAGCTCAAGCTGTAGAGACTTCCATACTAAGCTTTAGAGGGCCTAGGTTCAACTCTGGGTGGTGGCAGTTATACACACATCCCCTAAGACACTCTGACTGCTACTCATAATTAGCTTTCTTCACACACATTTGGCATCATCTGCTGGGAGGTTGGCTAGTGGTTAATTTGACTCGTGAACTATTTAATATGTCAATAATTTAATCCAGAAATATAAATGCAGTTGTACCCAAAAAGACATTTTAAGCATTTCAATGCCAGCATATTAGAAGGTAAGGATAAAAATCTAGTCAGTCATGTTCACAGCTCTATCTGTGTCTTGCCTGGTAATGGATTGTATATTATATTATCATGTTTTTATTTAGTATATTTGATTATTTGCTGTGCTTGATAGGGTATCAATGGTGGTTTTTTCCTTTAAAAGATATTCTTTAGGAATGATTTTGGGGATGTTCAATGGCCTGTATTATACATACTAGAACGGTTCTCAAACTGAAGGTCACAGCCCCATTTTAATGGGTTGCCAGGCCTGGCATTAGACTTTCTGGGGACTGGGGCCAAAGGCCAAGCACCCCAACCTAGGTGGTGGGGCTCAAGCTTCAGCTCTCACCTGGGACTGAAGCCCTTAGGTTTCAGTTTAGCCCCCCATCAAGGGCAATGGGGCTTAGGGGGCCTCAGGCTTCAGTCCCCTTTTCTGGGGACTTGTAGTAATTTTTGTCATCAGAAGGGAGTCACAGTGCAATAAAGTTTGAGGTCCTCTGGTCTAGAGTATCATAATGCTGCCTTCTAGTGTTGGACTCTATGAACTGAATTAATTGCGCATTTCTATACTGTGATATAATTGACACTGTGTTGTGGGATCTGATATTTGGTTTGTGTGAGCAAATCAAGTTGCATTCCATTTTTACTACTGTATAAGAAAAAATACAAACCTTAGAAATTATACTCAGACTCCTTTTAATCACCATGTGCCTAATGCTTCAGGGGGTAGCCAAGTTAGTCTGTTACAGAAAAAAACAACAAATAGTCTGGAAGCACTTTATAGACTAACAAAACAACGAAACCCACAAAAGTTCATGATACCATCTACATGTTTTGTTAGTCTACAAAGTGCTACTAGACCATTTGTTGCATGTTCCTAATGTCACTGTTAGTCTTTTAACAACAGGCCCCCTAGTTTGATTGACCAATTTTTTTTAACTTTCATCAGGAACATGAGCACTAAAACTCTCATTCCTAAAAGAGTTCAGATTAAGGGATATGAAATCCGAGTCAGCTGTCAAAAACTTGACCTATTGTCCTTTCAGCTCATAAGCTTATTTAATTAAAGAAGCTAGCTCACCATGGCTTTTCATGTTTCAGTTACAACAAGAAAAGAAAAACAAAAACAAAACAAAAGCTTCCCTAAAATGTTAGGGCTATCTTCACAAAATTACTTAAAATAAATCACAGTATCTCCTCCATCTACTTAATTTTGGGTTTTGTATGATGTGCTCAACAGTTGCATTTAGGATATGTTTTAATGGTGTGGATATTGGAAAAGTGGGTGGAAGCCCCTTGTTAGCCTTGGCCCCATCCTGCAAGTCCATGCCAGTGGACCAATACAGGGTTTCGTTGGCGTGGAGCCAATCATAGGATCTGTGCCTAAGAAAAATCCAGAAAATGTTTCTGAGACTTAGATGTCTAATCAGAACTTTATAATCACATGTATTTAATTGGAAAAAGTCCACATTAAAAAGAAATTAATAGAACTCTGAAGTTTCAGTTAATAGATTCATACTTTTAGTGACTTCAGTGTTTTTGAAAATGATTCACATTCTGTATACGAAACTCTATTTATCTAGGGAAGGTAGAGCAAAAAAGCAGACACAATGCTGGCTTACCCATGCTGGCTCCTATTCTGGAGGAAATGAGCAGAAGAGAATAAGCACATAATTCTGTGCCCATTGAATTCAATGGAAAGATCTCAGTGACGTCTATGTCTATGAGCAACAGAAGGCAGCAACAGCTTTTATAATAGTGATTTGTGTTTAACTCATTTATGCTCAACTACTGGACTGTATATTTTTCTGGAATTTCAGTAAATGAGCCAGGGCAGAGAGGGGACAGGATGATGTGGTTGTTCTGAACCCTCTTGAGATATTGTATTAATTCTGTCCTAGAATCTAGAGTAGCTAGGACTAAGATAGAAAACTATGCATACAAAACACTCCAGCACATGGGGAGGTCCAGTCCCCCTTAAACACCATCTTACGCAGACAATGGTCTCTTGAAAATCTGACAACTATTCATAGCTCCCTTGCAAAGCAGATGGACTCTGTTTCTGCAGCAAAAGATTAGTCACCTTGAGGACTATTCTCCATACATCATTTTTTATCTAAAAAGCAAATTTAATTTTACTGAATCCAATAAGGTGACTATCAGAAGAAAAGCTGGTTTGTTGTCTTAGGTCTTAATTCACTAAGGCTATGTCTACACTATAGAGTTTTTTTCAGAAAAACAACCGTTCTTCTGAAAAAACTTCAGTTACATCCTGTGACGTAGTGGGGGTACCTGGCTGGTTTCTATGCTGCTGGCTCTGGGGTAACCCCCACTGGCTGTCGTGGGGACCACGACCCAGCAAAACAGGATGAGTCACTATGCAAACCAGTGGCCAGACACCCCCCATGGAGAGGAACAAAGGAAGGTGGAATGCTGCCTTGGCTGGGGGGCAGGGCTGGAAGTTAGTGAGTTGGTTGCTGGCTGTCGGAGGGCATGGAGGAGAGCCTAGGGGAAGGGGCTGGAGTTTAGGGGCCCAGTCTCCCCCATCTCAAGGGGGCCTGAGGCATCCTAGCCCAGTTCCTGTAACCAGATTACATCTGTGCTGCGCTGTGCTGGAGGAGCAATAAACCACCCTCAATTCCACTGGCTGGTGCAGTCTGTTTGTGCCATTTCGGGGTGCAGGAGACGGGGAACCCCCAAC